GCCTCTGTCGTGGGCATGCAATCAATTATTACTTAAACCAACTGTTAACTGTATATTTCTGTACATTTACGTATTATGATTCATATTTCCACATTCAGTCACCTTGTTTATAGGTAATTTCATTGTTTGATCTTCGGGAGGTGCAGCTGTAACAGGGTCATAAATCACATCTTGTTATAATTACACAAAATGTGTTCTAAACCCCCAAACCATTCCTTTTATACCTGACTTTTAGGACCTCCAAGCCTGTAGTTATGTTCATTATCAGTTAGAGCCCCTCGTCATTCTTTTCTTCTTCTTCTTTGGTGCAATCCTATAAATACAGTGTACCCCTTTTGCCTCTCCCCTTTTCTACAATTCCCCTGTGGGAGAGGTGGGTGTCATTTCTTTCCAACACCTTAAAACACACATATAATTCATATTTAGCCACCCTGATGTTTCTGATTGTGATTTTAGTTCAATTATTGCCATTATTAAGCCTGTTTTTGTTAGATGTTATAAGTGTGCAGTATGTGTGTATCATAAATGTGTTTTAGGCGCCATAAATGCTAGCATGAATATCTATTCCTTGCTAGCTTGGAAGTTGTGGTGGGTTGAGCTAACCCTCTTCCCCACTTTTGTATTTGGTCGTAGGAGCTGGAGTGGGCAAATTATTTACTTGGAGGTCTTTCTTTCTTTTACCTTTTTTATCAGACACAACGCAGAGCCACACCGGTTACATAGCCTTTAGGGGTGGGGTGGGGTGTGGGGGGGATTTTCAATCCATAGCCATAATTGACTAACTAACTATATATATATATATAATGTTTAACCTGAGTAGCAAAAGACCGCAGGGGGTTGAAAACAATACGCCAGGAGTTAGCTGTGCTCGCGGACTCTTATCAAGCCTTGACCTCCCGGTCAGCTATTGCGCTGGTGGATAACAGAGCTCTCCGAAAACGTGGAAGCACTTTTGCAAATATGTGATATTTTGATAAATTAAGTAGATATTTGAGCATTAAACGGCTACATTCTCGGCTGAAAATATCTTAAAATGTTATTTTGTGACCCAGAAAGGGTAGTCTGCGGAAAAGGAGGATCGCATTTGTCGGCCACAGTTGTCGGAGCCTGTGCGTACTTGTAAGCGCGGCAATGGCGGAGGAACGGGGCTAAAAAACTTATTACTTTTTCTGGGTCACAAAATAAACTTTTAAGATATTTTCAGGCGAGAATGTAGCTGTGTAAACTATTTCATACTATTTCACGTGATTCAGTTTATTTTGAAAAGTATCATCAGTATCTTGAGCTTTATTGTGAAAGGTTTATGTGGAAAATAAACAAGTGGACACGTGATGGTTTTACCGTCGTTGTCGCTAATGACAACGCATAAAAACAGGCGCTTGTCCGTTAGTGTGGTTGTATTAAATATAAGAGAAAGCGAGAACTTTAAGAAATTAATATAGCCACTACAGTGACCATCAAAACGATGAAAAAATATTGC